CATTGAGCAGAAGGCAGGAAACACCCTGGACAGGTCACCAGTCCATTGCAGGCTTCAAAGCTCGTTTTGTTTTTGATTTTTCGCCAAGCTGTTCCCTAAAGGTATTCACTTGTCCTCATCCGCTACTTGACCTTCAGCCTTTTATGAAGGCTTTGCCAAAACTCCTCGGTGCCCTCTCAAAGCTGAATCTTGATGGTGAGTGATAGACTGATATTACTGGAATGCGTCCTGACCTCGCCTTCAAGCAACTACCTAGCATCTTTCAGCCAAAGCCCTTTTTCCATCCAAGGGAAAAAAAATAGTTTCCATTCGCCTTTTAGCCAAAACAATGCCTTTCTATGCACCTGGCATTCCGTAGCCCTCCCACCTTCTACCCTGGAGCGGAGCTGCAGCCAAGCCCGAGCAAACTCATAAATACCTGCGCCTGAAGGGCAGCGGAACACTGGAATACCTTCACACCTGCACAGGGAATCCCCTTCAGCATCAAATCGACCGCTGCTCAGACCATTCCCCTCCCAGTGCCCAGCATGCCATGCCGAATCATGCTGTGGATTCTGGACTGACTGTTCTGCCAAAGCTTGATCACGATTTGGATCAGGCATTGCTCACCCCTCATCCCCCCGGACGGCTCTGTTTTCTTCTGAAGTAGAAACAAAGGCTGAATGCTTGGGTTGTGTAATGTTGCCATCTGGCCTGGCATGTGCTCCTGTGGCCAAAGCCAGGCACTGACTGGGTGATGTAGGTCTGTAGGAATGTGCAACTGAACCCTGTCTTGATCCACAGATTTTAGCTTTGTTTTCTTTTATCATATGTTATTCATCAGTTTACCTGTGCATGCTCCATGCTCCACTTGCAAACACGTTCCTTTATAGGTGTTAAGAGGTTGGTCAGGCTTTACAGAGTGTTGGCAGAAATCCTATTCAACCCAGTTGTTCCACTCTTTGTTCAGAGTTGCTCTAGAATGTTTAATTTCCAGTGTAAAATGCTGCGCTGCTGTTACCCTGCGTTCACACTGGTTATGACTTTTCACCTCTTGATGCCCAAATTGCTGATCGCTCATCGCCTATGGGCGTGTCTGAACTTGAACTGACTGTTGTTTGACATGGTTTCAATGATGCCAGGCACAAAGCAGATGCATTCCCACTAAAAAAAAATCCTGGTGAAATCGTTTCTGTGCTTATCTTTATTTAAACCCTGTGTCCGTGTAGTCGGAATGTAAGGAAAACAGTATTTGGTCTTATTTGGTCGATTACTGTCTGTTTGCGTTGAAAGCACTGCCGCCCCTATTCCATCTCTTGTAGGAACAGTTATCTAGGAACCAAAAAAGGAGTGCACCATGTCACAGTGGTGGAGATAAAGCGTGTACTATGCTGCTTAATGCTCAATTCCTATTGGTAGTCGCCATGTCACTTCGCTCCTGATTTGCATAAAGTTAAACTTTGTCGCGTCACCGACTCCACCTGTTTTGCATCACCAACGTGTTGCTGGAAATTCCCAGCTGTCATTGAAAATAAATAACCTCCAGCCACTTTGTCGCGTCGCCTCGCTGCTGGTGTGAACGCAAGGTTAGAAAACAAAGCCTTCAGATTCCGAATTTATTCTCATGCATATGGGAATCTTGCAGGGGCACAGCTCGGTCATCAGTGTGTTACCAGACTTATGAACACATTCTGACAGGGTTTAGGTAGAGACCCTGGGGTCAAGGGAGGGACCAAGTGGAAGGGGAGAGTGGTGAAGGGGGTGTGACTGAGGAATAGAGGAGATGAAGGTGACATTATTTCTGTCTCAGGAAGAACTTTAGAGGAGCAATAACACAGTAATGCATGTTGGTGGTAGTCATTTTACGGCAAACTGGATATTCCGTTGATATTCCACATGATATTCCATGGTTTTCAGTGGAAAAGAGTTCGAAAAATTGTGCCGCCAACAGTGGCAAGTGTCTTCATGTGGAACATTTTCTTTCAATGGCAACATGAAAACCTTTCTTATAACAGATTCAGCTTCTATTCTTTTCAAGAGACTCGCTTTCAGTTTTCCATAGAAATCTGCAGGGATATTTTTCACACCTCAGAAGTTCAGTCTTAGAAGTTGGTTGATCATTTTCTGAAGTAATCAAACACATTCAGGGATGTTGAGATCTGGACTCTGGGGTGGTCAGTCCATTGTTCAGCTTCTTTGTTTGATGTGTCCGTCTCCTTTTCTCAGCGAGGTTCTTCTTGACAGCTACACATCCTTTCAGACCCACAGCGCTGAGTCGTCTTCTCACAGTGGAAGGATGGACAGAAACACCTGTGGATGTTTTCAGATCTGAAGCAGCTTGATTTTCTCCTCTCTCTCAGAGATGAAAGTACCGTTTTATCTCAAACTTTGTTCAAAATGAACCATTTTCTACTTGATGGCTGGAAATAAAATAATTGAGAGGTGGTCTTTGCAGTGCTGCACATCCAATATTTCTTAGTGTGATTTTTCAGGTTTGCACAAAGTTTAGGAGTTTTCCCAAAAGCGGAGTTGTGCAATTATCAGGTTGGATGAGATTTTTGGCAGCGTTTCTGTAAAGCATATCCAGCTTGGAAGAGCATCTGAACAATCAATTATGACCCATCTGGAATTTTCCTGCTATTATCTGATAGAAATCGGTCCAAAATCATCATCTAATGTCTTTTAATATGATATTTGATATTCGTGGTATCAGTGATGAGATGATACCAGTCATCCCAGGGTATATGAAAAACACTGGGCATCCAATAATGCAGTAAACACAGCAGCCAACAGAAATTGTACAATACAATAAAATTTTGATGGGATGTTTAAGATTATGCATATTTATGACATTGCGATGACGTCTGTTGTTGCGTTATTATGATGCCTGTGGTCGGCTGTTTGGCTCTCCTTACAGTCGAGGTGGTTCTTTATTGTTTCTGCCAGTTGCTCTGGCATTAGTGAAGAGCCTGGAGAAGATTGATGTCAGCCGTTGGTTACGTTAGAGGAGTGATTTCTCACTTGTCATGATTTGGACCACGTCCTACAGTCATTTTGTACTTAATACGCACCTCTGCTGTGATCCGCTCCGTGTGTTTGGTGCCAGCTCCCTCACGTGACATCATCCATACTGTCTTATTAGGCCTCCATACACAATAGCGCTTCTTTGCCAGCAGTGATGACGGTGGTGGTGTTGGGCCCATGGTGGTGATTGAACTCCAGAGACTTGTTCATTTTCAACTGCTCTCCATTTGGATTCACACATCAGCAGCAGCTCTAGACAGCTGGATGTGGGCAGTCAGATGTGACTTATTGGGACCCCACGCCCTCCAGGCGCCTGGCAGGCTGGAGAACATGAGGAAGAACCACGTCAGTTGGCAGCGTTTGGCAGTTGAGATGCACGTGAAGAGCGTGAAGCATCTTCTCCCAGTCAGCTTGGAGTTATTTCCCTGTATATTTAGCGGCTCATAGTTTTGAGTTTTTTTAGTTTGTGTGGTTGTATGTACCAAAAACGGTCGTTCATTTCTGACCATTTTCCAACCTCTCTGTATCCCTCGAGTGGGTTTCCAGCCACTGTTAGCCTCATTGGTGTTTTCAGTCTCTGTCCACTGTATTTTGTCTCCTGCTCTCCCGAGCAGTGCCTTATTTCAGATCACTGGGACTGAATCACTGCTGCGCTGTGGGAACAGTCCCAGCGCATGTCACATTTGGGATTTAAGACACTGCAGGGGGCACAGATGACACAGCATATCGTCCTTCCAGCTAATGGCTTTAAGCACTGTTAATTGCCCAACAAAAAAAAGCAGAAGTCTATTGAGACGTCATGGATTTGCTGAATGATGACGTGTGTTAGGTTGTTTTTCTTTGTTTTAAAAACAGGCCTTTAACCCCTTAAACTAAGGGTCTGTATGAGGGTTCCTTCAGTCCTTACTCTGACAATTAGATCTTACACTGTAGTTTCACAGTCTTTACTGGATAATTTATAACAGATACTGAACAATAAATAATAGATATTGAATAATTTAAAGTACATACCGAAAAATTCAACTTATACCAGTGCCCAGAGTCCAGGATTGGCCCTGAGATCCCCTTGGCCCTGTTTAACTGAATGCAGGGATATGGTGCATAAATATTGCAGTTTCAATTTTGATAGCATTCTTTTAAGCACTGGTTCACTAAAAAAATCCAATCCCCAAATTGAATTGGGGGTACCACTATTTAAAATTCATAGTAGATACTGAACAATTTATAGTAAGTACTGAATAATTCATACTAGATACTGAAGAATTGGTAGTAGTTACTTATTTCTTAGTAAATACTAAATAATTAATAGTACATACTGAATAATTCATAGTGTATACTGAAAAATTTATAATAGTTACTTATTTCTTAGTAAATACTCAATATTTCATAGAAGATACTAAATAATTTGAAGTAGATACTGAATAATAATATATAGTAGATACTAAATAATTCATAATAGGTAGTGGATAATTAATAGTAGATACTGAATAATTCATACTTGATACTGAATAATGTGTGGTAGATACTAAATAATTTGATGAATCATACCAATGCCAGAAGTCCAGGAGAGCAAAACTGTCCCTGTTTAACTGAATGCAGTGATATGGTGCCTAAATGTTATATTCAGTTTGAATAACATTGTTTTTGAACTGGTTCACCAAAAAATCAGATCTAACACAAAGATTAATCATCCGAATGAGCAGGTATGGATCACCTCTTTTGCCAGTTGGTGTGACAACGAGTGCTAAACCTTCCATGTCTTTGTTCCTCATTCAGTATGAAATGAGTTCTCATCGTGATGTTCAGATACATTTAAAATGAGGATATTCAATCAGCAGAAACAGCTGTTTGTTTTAGTTGTGTTTTGAGATCTGAGCTTGCGAACATGAAAGGTGTCCTGATCTGTACTGCTCTCTGATTGGATTCCAGAGTGTTTCTGAGATGAAGTCCCCGCAGTGCTGTGTTTCATTGTGTGTGTGTGTGTGTGTGTATTACAGAGAGCAGAAGCTGTACTGGCACCTGAAGCTGCACTTCCCCCAGAGCAGCGCCCAGTATACTGACAGGTAGGTCAGCCTCTCTGCTTCTCTCTCAGTTAATCCAGCTCCATATAAGATATAGTAAATACAGTCGTGTGCAAAAGTCTGGGCACCCCATGTTTGTTGATTTTCTAAGTGTGAATAAGTAAACACGTCCTCTACCTTGTTAATACTCGATGTGCTGTTTATTCGCTGAATTTAAAGGCGTGTTCAAACTTGTACATACAGGTCATCACAAAAACAAAAAGATTTCAGAACAGGCTGCTTTTGGAGCTTATTTGACAAGTATGGACGGTACGGACATTGTATATTGAAAATTTTAGTGATAGGGCTCCAGAGCAGCCCAACTATCTAAGCGTTGCCTCTGTCATCAGGAGATCATGAATTCTATCCTAGTGAAGCTACAGCCATCCATGGCCGGGAGTCCAAGAGAGCACAATTGGCCTCGCTCTCTCTGGGTGGGTAGGATGGCCCCTCCCTCTCCCCCCATCACTCAACGCGATGCTAGTCAGCGCAGGCGTCTGTTAGCTGAGGTAACAGATCTAGCGGTTGGCGCTTTCCTCCGAGTGCGTTCAGCTGTCCAGTGACATTGCGTGAGCAACAGTTCGAAAAGATGCAGTGGTGCTTCACAGGTCTCGGAGGAAGCCTGTGTTAGCCTTCACCCTCCTAGTGCTGGCGGTACTGTGTGATTGGGGGAGTCCTAACTTCTGGATGGAACTGGATACAATTAAACTGGGGAAGAATCTTAGTGACACATTTAGGCTTCGGAGTAATTTTCTTTTAAGTATGTTTACTACTTTTTGCCGTGACACTGAAAATGACTAACTGAACTAATGTTTTGACTGTGAATTAAATAAATGAAGTAAGGTGGACTCTGACTTTTGCACAGCACTGTATTTTAAAATTGCATGATGTGTAAAAACTACTGCAGGAACAGCTTTTTCAGTGGAATTAAAGTCCTTTCTCCTCTGCAGAGTGCCGGAAGACCGGCTTCTGGAGCAGATTCTCAGTGACTACGTCCACCCTACTGAATCAGACCCAGTCAAGCGCCAAAGGTAACACCATCAAACCCTGTTCTTTCTGTCCTCTGTGCTGTACCTGCTTTTCTTCTCGTACTCTTGTTGTCCTGACGCCTGGGCCTGTATTCAGAGAGCGTCTCAGAGTGTCTGAGTACACTGATCTGGGATCTGTTCTTGTCAGTAAAGTTATAGTAAAGAAGAGGGAAATCAGCCGTCCTGCTCTGAGAAGCTCTGTGAATACCAGTCCTGATCCATTCAATAAGGTCAGTATCATTGCAGATACCGATCCAGTACATCACTAATTAAAGACAGTTGTGGTGGTGAAGACAGAAAGAGAGGAATGGAAGGAAAACGTTAACATGCTGCTGAAATCTGTCGCTCAAAAGTGAAAGAGTGAAACAGCCTCAGAGAAAAAATGTTTTTTATGTGTCAAATTGCTGTCAAATCAACAAAAGAAAACCAAAAGGACAAAAGAACCTTTTATGGAGCTCTTTTCTGCTTACACGCCTGGAGTTTACGCCCTGCTGCTTTGTCCACAGGCCAGGTCTCGTTAAAGCGGCTGCTTCAGGGCGTAAATATAGAACCGTGATTGCTGTGTGGTTTCAGGCTGTCACCACGCTCCTAAATCTAACTATGTGATAATAGGTCAAGAAATCAGCAGCAGATCAGAGCTGGACGCGGTTCTGGTCGACCCACTTTCGGCTCGGTTTTTGACTGTTGTCTTGCCTGGAGCTTTTGTGATGGCGCTTTGTTGACTGCGTCCTCCCAAAGCAGAGTGTGATGACAATTCCAGACGAGGCAGCTGGAGAGTTTTGAGTTTTTAGTGAGATGATTGTGTTGAAATGAAGATAAAAGCTGACGTTAATGGCATAATGAGCTGTAGACGTGTAATTCCCCTCGGTACTGTCAGAGATCAGCCTGTCAGTGTTCACATCAGACGTTCACAGTGTAACTTTCCTTCAGTGCTGTGCATCATTTAAAGCTGCACTATGTAAGATTTGGGGATATGGAGACCTCTCTGGTGGAAGTGTGTAATTGCGTGCGATGTGCAGAAGAACATACTGTAACGTGGGCTGTGCTTCGGTTCGCTTCCCCGAGCGGATGAATCTGATGATCGAAAGAGAGTTCAAAGAGAACTCAGTCAAAACTTGGTGAAGGACGTGTTTTCTGAGGATGTTAGTGAATTATCTGTGATGGTCATCATGATCTCCATCAGTATAATGTTGATTTTGCATTTGAGACCTAAACATCAAGCTGGACCCTCTTTTTGAGTCTGTGTTTGTGACTTTAATACATAAAGATGCACAACATCTGAAAAACTCCCGCACAATCTGACCAGGTGAGTTTGACTTTTAAACAATTATTTCAGGCTTTACAGGGCGACTCACAGCAGCGCACACTCAGCATGTTTTAGAGTGTATTGATTCTCCTGACTCAGTATTTTTATCACCACCAAAACAGTGATAACATTCCCAAAACATTTGGTAAAGTGAATATTTTAGCTAATTTTGAGTCATGACGTGAAAACCTAGGACAGCAATTCTTAAATAAAGCTTTTTTATTTAAAAATTAAACTGAGGATAAATCAAAATCTTTAAACTTTGCTTTAAAAGAACTCAAAAAGATCTTTAAAATAAATTTTAAAATATTATTTTCGCAAGTATAAATTTGGGAGTTGGGGTTTGGGACAGACAACTCCCTGTAGAAAGTACTAAATCATTAATAATAATGATTTTTTAGATATTTAGCTAATTATTATCTATATATCACATATATACATATAGTCAAAAGTTGAACTCGTCTGTGATGGTAGCCTCTCCCTCTTGTGGTTTCTAGTTACAGCATACCTACTCTTGAGGTGAGCTGGAGCTCTGCTTTGCTGTTACTTTTGTTAGATTGCTGCTCATTAAATGTTATATAAAAGCTGTATTTGAATGAGAGGTCTACAATCACAGATTCTATCAGAGCAACACACAGCAAGCTGCAGGTGGGCTTCAGCATACGCTACTATGAATATTTCAAAGGGTTTTAATTACGGAAATGCGTAAATAAAATGACACTGTTAATAAAAGGGACGGTCCTATTATATATTTTAGGTTTTATATCTGTTGTATCTGCAAAAGGAAGAATGCTGAAACTGACAGTGGCATGACACTGCATGCCTTTTTTTGATTAAATAAGACTTTTCCACTAAAAAAAAAAAACATTTTATTGGAACAGCTCTTGCTGGCTGCGGAAAACAAGTGAAGTAAAAAAACGAAGTGACGAAAAGAGAGACAAATTTAGCTCTGAAAGCCTTTTGGGCTGCATGGAGAATTCATTAAGCCCTGAAACTCATTCCCAGCCCAAACCGCTTTCTATTATTATTATTCTCTATGTGTGCGTTACGTAACTTGGCCGGGAAGCCGCATTCCGTGTGGTTGAGAAATGATTCGGTTCTCGTCTGTCAGGAGCGTCCTGCTGTTCCACCTGTCCACCTGCGGTTCTGGCATGCGCTGATGCGCGAGGCTTTGAGGAAAGCGGGTGTTCTTCCAGGATGAATCACTCTGCGGGGTCGAGTGTTTTCCAGAAGGCCAAGGTGAAGCCTCCAGACGCCGCTGTAGTACGTTAGAGCAGAGTGGACTGACGTGTGTTGAGCGAGAGTGCATACCTGCTAAGGGTGTGAAGAATTCAGTGCAGTGTTAAAAATTGTAAAAATGTAACTATATTAGGGCCGAATCCCATTTTTTATCATTATAGCGATTTGAGATTCAGTGATACACATTCTTAAGGATGCAAATGACCTAACGGATCAAATGACCAGCATCCAAGTGGCGTAATTAGATTGGTGGGACTGTAGCATTAGAGGCCTAGCTGTGCTTCCCTGTGCTGGGCTTGAACCCTCTATCATTGAAGTAGCTCTCAGCTAATCATACTCAAATGGTTGAGGTGTAAACGGTCGTTCAGAGTGGTTTGGTGTGAAGTGCTCTGTTCTAGAGAAACTTACTGAGTCAGAATTGTTCACAGTGGTGGTGATAGGAACCAGACGTCCACCTCTAAAAGCTCCCTCACAGAAAATTATTACATAAAATGGAAATGATGTCTGAGACACCGTTTAGTGATAGTTAAGATATGATTGTGGCCTAAAACATACTTTACAAAATCCATTAATGGTGGAGGGATACATACAGGGTGTTGTGAGACCATATTTTCCACGATTTTACCATCGTCAACATTCCATATAAACACCCAGAAGACTTGTGTAGGTTCACTGGTGGTTTTGGATAGAAAATAAAATATTTGTGTTGTAGACAATGTGACCCCTGGTTCCCATCACCACCACTGTAAAGACATGAGTGAGTAGGTTTCACTACAGTGAACCATTTCAGACCACTCTGGATGACTTTGCATGTCTGCTGAATTCTACAGAAATTTTGAAAGAAAGAAAAATTGTAATTCCTCTAAAGTGCAATCTTGTGTTGTTGTGTTGTTGTTTTCCAATGTTGTGATATTTATAAGCCTTTTTTTCAGGATTGATTAGGCTTCTGCAGTCATTAACAGCCCTGCTGACTAACATGAACATCACTGCCAGCACCCTGAAGCAGCACTCACCCCTCAGCCGCATGTGAAGATCTGTTATATTGAAGGAAGTTAAAGGAGAGTGTTCACTCTCCTTTAAGGAGAGTCAGGGTGAAAAACAGCAAACCAAGTTACAGAATTACATCAGCCAGCGCAGAGGAAAGAGTGGCTTTTCTTCTCTGTTGAAGCGAGACTGGTTACTCTCAGCGAAACTTGAATCAGGAAACCGGCCAAAATAAAGACATTAAAACCTCAATTTGATTTTTTCACTTTTCCTGTTTCCTCAGAAGGTTCAGAATCCTGCAGCTCTACTCGGCCGCCACGAGCTTTATCCTGCGGTAACAGCTCAGATCACACGCACTTCTGAAATCACATGACTGTGTTTTTCTTTCGGTGGAAGAACAGTTTCTCCTCTGAAAAACAAAACACTTCATGCTCTATTCTGAATGTGGGTGAGTTTTATTGTAGTAGTGGTCAGTATACTGGTTGAAGTCCTTCCTCAGGTATGAGAGATGTCAGAGCTGTTATTCTCGCGTTTTGGGTGACGCCACTTTGTCATCGCCATTTTGGGGACCGAATCAGGGAGTGACTGTGCAGCGCGATGCCTTTAATTAGCTGTGCTTCGTGAATGATTCACCTGCGAGACGCGACAGAAGCCGAGAATGACGAGAGACACACAGACCTTTAATTCAGTGTTTAAGCTCCAGGCTTGGAGTCCCTGAATTGTGTATTTTAGTGTTTCTCTGCTGTTCACACCTCGTTCAGCTCAAGAAGGGATTAATCAGCTAATAATATCAGGTATTTTAACCAGAGAAACCACAGTTATGCAGTGCAGGGTTTCAGGACTGGAGCTGAACTCTGTACTAACTGCACTAGCAAACTTACAAAATCACGTCTGTTGAAACACGACGTTGTTTTCCGACCCACGACATTCAGTCTGATATTTAACGTTTATGTTTCTCCATTCAAACATCATTTAAATCTCCAGAAACAGAGAGTAAAGTTACACCAGCTCCAGTTTAAGTGGGAGCAGGAGTTTGGGGGGGAAACTGTATAAGGATCGAAGCCTATTTTACGGGCTTTGTTGAGGTAACGTTTTTCTCTTCCAAAATAAGGTGAGTAATTTTAGTCATCTTTCACCTCTAGTTACATCCGTGCGGAGCAGCGAAGCCAGAAATTCGGTTCCAAATATGGCAGCCACAACAGAAAAATCGCGTGACTGAAACCCTAGGATACTGGTTCGTCTGCCACAAACAAGCACAGATAACGCAACGTACAAACAGTGCAAACCACTCTAATATTAGTCTGTTTAGCTGAATGTCAGGGATGTTTCAGCCGCATTTCAAATGAAAATGAAAACATAGGAGACCCTCGTCCACCTGCCGCTAGTCCGTTTTATCTGAAGTTGTCCACCTTGTTTCAATGCAGCGGACATAAAGGAATGGCCGGTCTTGCCCTTAACTGAACCTTCTTCAAATCTTTACAAAGACGTTGCAAATGTGTTGGAAGCAGACCCCCCATAAGAACAAGATCTACGTGATTCACATGAATATCATATTTATTATTCACAAATGTAAATTTCGCAGAAAGGTGATGATTTCGGTACATATCAGAACACAGTGTGTGCTGCTTTAACCCTGTGTGTGTGTTTCTGCAGGTTGAAGCTGTACGTTGTCTCTCCTCCTGATCAGCTGTGTGTGTTTATGAAGTCGGAGCAGAGGCAGCCCGGCTCTCTGAGGTGAGTAAAAGCTGCCCATATAAGCCCTACTTACCCCTAAAACTGTTATAATTACGGCTGTCAAACGGTTGAAATTAATCACGATTAATTGCATTATTTTATGTAGTTAATGACGATTAGTCGAAATTTTCTGCTCTAATTTGACCATAAGAGACTTAAAAAGCAGTGTATTTTGTTGCAGAAAACAGATTTGACCGTCTTTAATGCGTCTGATTCATGAAACTTTCAAACGACGTGGAAACAAACGGAAAATGATGAATCAGCTTCAGTGTGTGAAATCAAGCGCCAGCCTACGAGTATCTCATCTACATGAAGCACACCCTAATTCATGGTGATGTTTCAGCTGAGAGCCAATGAAATGCCAGCATTCAGGGGCTTGTGAGCCAATGGCTGTGCTCGTAGTCGGGGTTTGAGGTGGAGCAGTGATTAGCAGTGAAATTACAACGGCTGGAAAGAATAAAATGCAAAATAAACCAAACATCTAGAGCGATGTGATGGTGTGGTGTGACTGTTTTCCTGATACGACATATTTAAACGCTGTATTATTGCAGTGTGTGAGACGCTTTAGCACTAGCTGTGTTTTATGTTGTTGTGGGCGGAGTCAATGGTATAAAACAAAAAACACAGTGTAATATGCCTTTAAAAGGAACAGACTTTCCATTAACAGCATTTGTTTATACCAGTATGCTTGAAAAGAAAGTACAATAAGTGTTATTTTCCATTTGTATTCTTATTATCGCTACTATGGATGATACTTTGGTTAGTTAACCACAAATCAAGCATTTTTTCAGGCTGTTAAACTATTACACTCAGACATGAGTTTGATCATACAGATACCGTCATGCGCTCATTTTACGATCAGATTTGATTGTACACAACTTTGATTAATCATTGCCAGTATGTAAGAGCCATGATAAAGCTGTATTTGAAGCAGAACACAGCATGTGAGAAGCTGGGCTTCAGCATTGAACTATGGATGGTCTGAAGGTTTAAAAAAAATTATGTTGATAAAATGGCATCAACACATTATTAACACATCAACTTTGACAGCACTAATTATACTTATGGGTGTCAAATGGTTGAAAAAAAAATTACAATTAATCGCGCTGGTTTACTGTATTCGATTGAAATTAATCGCGCTGGTTTACTGTAGTCGATTGAGATTAATCGCGCTGGTTTACTGGAGTCGATTGAGATTAATCGCCCTGGTTTACTGGAGTCGATTGAGATTAATCGCGCTGGTTTACTGGAGTCGATTGAGATTAATCGCCCTGGTTTACTGGAGTCGATTGAGATTAATCGCCCTGGTTTACTGGAGTCGATTGCGATTAATCGCCCTGGTTTACTGGAGTCGATTGTGATTAATCGAGCTGGTTTACTGTAGTCGATTGAGATTAATCGAGCTGGTTTGCTGTAGTCGATTGAAATTAATCCCGCTGGTTTACTGTAGTCGATTGAGATTAATCCCGCTGGTTTACTGTAGTCGATTGAGATTAACCCGCTGATTTACTGTAGTCGATTGTGATTAATCGAGCTGGTTTGCTGTAGTCGATTGAAATTAATCCCGCTGATTTACTGTAGGCGATTGAGATTAATCCCGCTGATTTACTGTAGTCGATTGAGATTAATCCCGCTGATTTACTGTAGGCGATTGAGATTAATCCCGCTGATTTACTGTAGTCGATTGTGATTAATCGAGCTGGTTTACTGTAGTCGATTGAGATTAATCCCGCTGATTTACTGTAGTCGATTGAGATTAATCGCGCTGGTTTACTGTAGTCGATTGAGATTAATCGCGCTGGTTTACTGTAGTCGATTGAGATTAATTGCATTGCTTTGCTGTAGTTGATTATGATTAATCGCGCTGGTTTGCTGTTGTCAGTTGCGATTAAACGCACTAGTTTGCTGTAGTTAATCCCAATTAATCATAATTATTTGCTCCAGTTTTGACCCTAGAAAATTTTTTTCCATTTTGAAAGCAGTGCATTTTGTTGTATCTGAGGACAAAATAAGTTTCATCAGAATGAATTTATTACTTTCAGTAATTCAGCTTGAACCTGAACACAAAATGACAAACTCAGGATGAAGATGAAAAATAGTTACTGAACGTTACTGACCCCAGCAGTGGCTAAATATATGTTAGTTCACAGGTTGCAGAATTATCCATAATTTATCCAAAACAGTCATTCAAGGCTTCTTCCAGTGCAAGCATCACTGAATTTACTGGTCTTGCTTCATCATCGCTGTGTTTTTCTTGTGACTGATACTTCAACCAATAAAACTTGTGTCGTTTCTGCTGTTTAAAAGCTGTTCTTGAGCGAGAAAGTCTGAGTCATAGCAACAGTAATTTACCACGTTAGCGCGTTATTAGTGCGTAAACTTTAACAGCACTGATTATAAAGTGTGTATAAAGCGTTAGATTTCCAGCGTAAGTGTTCAGGAAGGAAAGGGTTGAGTGCTCCACAGAAACAGGCCCAAGTATTCACACTGTTGAAATTGTCTGTTGCGTAAACGACGCTCTGTCGCCCCGAGTGTCTTCGTCCTGCCCCGTCTTGATCTGGAGTTTTGGCCGTGAAGTCATGAAGCAGCAGAGCACTGAGGCTCTCCTGAGTCCGTACCGTCACAGTCAGTGCTCGTCTGAAGCTCTGGGGACACTTAGATTCTGTAAAGGTTTATGAGAGAGTTAAGCTTGTTTTCTGTATCAGTTTAAAGAATAAACAGGTTTGTTTTTCTTACTTAATCACAGACTAACAGTGAGAATCATACATTATGCACAGCGTTTGAAAGATGGCAGCGTTTCCCCGAACGCCCGCTCACGGGCGGAGTGTGAAACCCCCTGAACACACTGAGGATGGACCCTGAGTCAGCATTCCTGCCTTAACTCAGTTTGAGTCCTGCTTACTTAACATAATCAGCAGCGTAAATACGGATCACCTTAAATTACAGAGACGCAGACGAGACGAAGCAGTTGTTTTCCACTGAGTCAACACTGACACTGACTCTGAGGATCTCTCTCTCCCTTTATCTCTCTCTCTGTCTCTCTACAGAGTCACTATAGTGATTGTGTGCTTTATCAGGGTCTCTGTTCTAAATCACGCACTGTATCAGTTTCCCAGCTGTACAGAACACTGAGTGAACAGAACAGGATCACAGCTGATCTGGACAGAACACTGTGAGTCTCCTCTGAGATCAAATCTGGTGTTTTGTGTGTATTTGTGTACTTTTGAAAGTGAAGTTGGGTTTGGATACTGATTGACTGCGATAGGTGAGTAAAATAAAATAAAAGTCCATTTTTTGGCTCTGAGACGAGCGTAAAAATGAGGGAGCGCTTGTAGCTCCGCCACATTTCTGAGCAGTTAATAAACACCCACTCGAGTTATGTGGTGCGCTTCAGACGCTGTAGTGCGAAACTAAGCGTACCAAATGGAAAAGGATGCAATGTCACAAAATCCAAACATCCAAGAGGCCATTAAACAGTGAACACGGCTTCGTATCAGTGAAACGTTAAACACGCTTCCCGCTTTGGTGAAGCCAGAGGAGCACAGAGAGGTTCACCACCTCATTCAGGATCCGGAGCTTCCTTAGTGCTTTCACAGGTCGCTCAGATCTCTGATCCCTGACACAGAGGGCAAACTAATGCCTCTGACGTCTGTTAAAAGCTCTGGTTACAGGACAACAGCCGGCCATCTTGGTTGTCGCCATGCCAACACCAGAGTCAACAGTAATGGGTCAGTTAGTTCAGTGGGTCCCCCACACTGGTCCTGGGGAACCCCCTGCCCTGCACATTTTGGTGTTTGCCCTGCTCCCACTAAACCCCATCCAGCTAATCTGCTGAACGTGGGCAGGGCAGGGGGTCTTCCAGGACCAGGGTGGGGGAGTTCATGTTATTCTGGCCTTGTTCAGTTAGATCTGCAGATACTGGTCTTCAGCAAAAACCTTCAGCAAAACCTTCTTCTATTCTATCATAATCGGATTATCTGATTATTCAATTGGTCATGTGAACAGCACACTCCGATTTCATAGATCGAAGTAAAGTCTAGAAATCCAATTAAGAAGTCTGATAAAGAGAGCTGGATTTTAGCTCAGAGATCAGATTTCTCAGTGCATGTGAACTCTTACTCTGATTTCTTTCGGATTCAGTCTGCACATGTGTGAGAACAGACGGCAGCACCAGAAATAAGTAATCAGATCTGCCGCAAGACGCAACAAAACACTTTTGGAGCAACACTGAAACCAAACATGAAATAAAGGATGAAGTTTGCGTGAAGTTCGAGTTTTACGTTACGTTTACGTCACGTCTTCTTCTGTGAGTTTATTAGCTGGTTGCAAAGCAGAAATCTGATTACTGTCTGACTCATGTAGACCTGGAGTTTCCCCATTATCTGATTACTCAAGGTGCATGTAAACATGTTGATCAGATTACTGACAAAATCAGATTTTCTGCAGTTATCGGATTATTAAGTGCATGTAAACACACTCACGGTCTTATACGCACTTTGAGCTGCCTCTACAATAAAAAGTGCTCTATAAATACCGATTATTATTATTATTATTAACAGTAATATTAGTACAGTTAGCACAGAACAGTGTTTTTTTTTGTGCAGATTCATTAATTTCATGAAACTTTCATGAGCTTTTTTTTAAAGAAATCTGCAGGGATGTTCTCCCTCAGCTCCAAAGTTCAGTCCCAGCAGTTGGTTGCGTCTCCTGCTGTCCGACGCCGAGGCCTCCTGTAATGACTCGTACCTCCAGCAGGAGCTCGAGGGATTCGAAGGAACTTGACACTAATAACAGGAAACAGGCAGAGAGCTCGCCAATGTACACACATAAACGCTCTTTCCACAGAGAGTCATGTGGTGGGGGAGTGGGGGGGGGAGCCGGGGGGGGGGTGAGCTGTGTTACAAAATACCTGAATAGCTGCTGTCAGCAGTTTGCAGATGGTAGTTTAGGTGTTAATGAGAGGCGGTGTGGCGAGCGCTGCAGGACGCAGAGTGTTTACTCTCAGTGCTCTCTGACTGCAGCGTGACCCTCATACCAGAGTATCATTACCCCCATCAGCACTTACATAACTCATTACATACAGCAGGAACAGAGAGTACAGAGGGGGGGGGCAGGGTGGGGGGTGAAAGATGAAAAAATGATAAATATAGAGAAGCAACACAGGAAGAACAGATAGAAGAGAAGAAGCATGTGGACGGTCACGATAATCTGCACTGACAGCTCGTGGCTGGTGCTCATCATAAGACCGGGTGCATACATTTTTCCTTTAAAGGGAAAGTCCACTGAGTTTCCAAATTTTAGCATAATTAAGTGGTTAAGGTGCAAACGGAGTCATTCAGAGTGGTTTGGTCTCTCTCCCTCTCTCTCTCTCTGTCTACATCTCTCCTCTCCCTCTCTATTTATCTCTCCTCTCTCTCTCACCTCTACTCTCTTTCTCTCTCTATACATCTCTCTCTCTCTCTCTCTCTCTCTCTCTCTGTCTCTCTCTCTCTTTCTCTCTTTCTCTCTCTACTCTCTCTCTATACATCTCTCTACTCTCTTTCTACTCTCTCTCTATACATCTTTTCTCTCTCTCTATACACCTCTTTTCTCTGTCTCTCTTCTCTCTCTACATATCTTTCTCTCTACATATATACATCTCTTTTCTCTCTCTCTTTCTCTATCTCTCTTTTCTCTCTCTCTTATTCTCTCTGTCTCTCCTCTCTCTTTACATATCTTTCTCTGTGTACACATCTCTTTTCTCTCTCTCTCTACTCTCTTTCTCTATACATCTCTCTCTCTCTTTCTCTTTCTGTACTCTCTCTCTCTATACATCTCTTCTCTCTCTTTCTCTCTGTCCCTCCTCTATACATCCTCTATACATCTCCCCGCCCCCTCTCTCTGTTAAGTAAAGCTGAATTGTAGTTGTTGTTTTTTTTGTTTACCTGCTGATTCGGGTCAGTTTAGGTGAAGCCCTGTTGACTCTCGGTCACCCCCACCCCCTCAACCGGGCTGTGTCAGAGCCTGAAACGGCCGCTGTGCTAAAGTTATCCCTCGTAAACATTCCTTTACTGGAAATCAGGCCGGAGAGCATAACGGCGTCTTTCACCTCTGAGCGGTTTGTTTGTTTACAGTGCGGCTGTATGTTTTTTTATTCCTCCGTTTTCCCCTCATTTCTGCGTCTCGGTACAGTCGAGGGAGAAGGACGCTCAGTGAGATCAGGCCTGAAGACCAGCTGGCCGACCGCAGAGAGGGAGCGATAGAGAGACAGAGAGGGAGACGGAGTGACAGGGAGATGGAGTGAAAAAGGAAAAATAAAAACTGAAGACTGATGATCCTAAATGACTGTTTTCCATGCGGAGCAGATGACAGTGTTTCGCTCCGCAGCGTTCAGGCAGCGTTCCTGAGCCCACAGAGAGCATAGCTGCGGTCAGCGGCTCACTCGCTCACCAGCACAACACAGACAGCCCTTTCATACACATACACACACACACACACACACACACACACACACACACACACACACATTCATACACACACACTCATATACACACACACACTCATACACACACACACACACACATTCATACACACACGCTCATACACACACACACACACATTCATACACACACACTCATATACACACACACATTCACACACACACATACACACACATTCATACACACACAAACACACTCACATACACATACACACACACACCTACACATTCATACACACACACACACACACCTACACACACAAACACACTCACATACACACATGCTCATACATACATACACACACACTCACACACATTTATACACTCACACACACACTCATACACACACTCAAGGCCTGCAGAGGCACCAGACTGAAGCCTGAACACAAGCTGTACCCAACACTTTGAGACTGGACCCCAGGTGTGCCCCAGATAGACCCCGGGGGGCTTGAGCCCCTGACCCTTTTGACCTCAGGCTGTACACATTTTGACAATACACAATAATAATAGTAATAATAATTATAACAGTAATAACTAGAAAGAGAAAGTTAGTTAACAAACTTTAAGTTGGCTTGAAAAAGCCAGCTAATTATTTTAAGACATTGAAATGCTGGAAGACTGTTGATGGTTGCTAAAGTGTTGCTTAGATGTCGCTAGGCGGTTGCTACGGTATCCAAGGTGGATGGTAATGTGTTGTTAGGTGCTGCCTTAAACTGCTAACTTAAATCCACTGCCACCTTAAATTCACTGCCACCTTAAATGTAAGTATAATTTAAATTCATTGCCACTGTAAATTGACCGCATCCTTTCATTTACTGATGTCTTAAATTCTTACATGGTAAGAATTATTGCTTTACTGTCAAAAATGTCAAAAATAACAGTAAAAGCCAGCCTAATGCAGAATGTGAATGTTCAACATCAGCTAGCTCTCTTTATCGTTAGCCAGGTTCTTTGTGTATGTACTTGGAGGGGTCTTACTTACTGTGTCCCCCCTCACTTCTAAAACCAAAACTACACCATTGGTGCATCAAAATATGGCAAATAGATCATGATGGCTCGCAGTCACAAGCTCTGTATGACTGCTATGGAAGATCTTTTATAAAAAGTACTTCTTCCACATTTGAGTGAATAATGAATAAATATAGATGCCTTTCACTCTAAAACCATTTTTGATTATTTTCTAGTTGTTGCTGGTTTGTATTTGCAGGTACCATGAGCTGGATTTGAAGAAGAGTCTCCGTGAGAACCTGATGTTCAAAACAGTGGTGGAATATCCGGAGCTCCATGTGGTCCTGAAGGAACGCTGTCAGGAATACCTCACTCGGTTCCCAGGTGAAGCTCATACTCCACACACACTCTCCTCTTATGCTTCTGCAGCCAGGATTACGTCACCCTCACAGTGCTGAGTTAAGCAGAAGGCTTGTTCTTGTTCTGTTTGCATTAACAGGGGATGAACAGCATCACATATTAAATCACAAACACTGCAGTATTAGTTATTCGTTCAGGCCCATGCAGGTGGCTTCAGTGCTGTGTCAGTAGCTCCTGATCACAGCCCAGTAGTGGAAATTGCCCCCTTTTACTCACAAGCAGCTCAAAGCAGAGTTACAACATTAACACACAGAGAACCAACAGTGTGCTAATCTGACAGCAGAGTTACAGGGAAAATATTTCTTTTGATTACCTTAAATAAATATATTAGAGTAGCTTTCAGAACAGGGTTTCTGAAATACCGGGCCGTGGACCAGAAGTGGGCTGTAAATCATCCTTTGGTAGTCCTTTTTGGGCCATTTCCGTTGAATGTAGAGGGCATTTTTGGGCCGTTTCTGTTGAGCTTAAAGGGCATTTTTGGGCCGGTTCTGTTGAATGTAGAGGGCATTTTTGGACTGTTTCTGTTGAATGTAAAGGGCATTTTTGGGCCGTTTCTGTTGAGTGTAAAGGGAATTTTGGGCTGGTTCTATTGAATGTAGAGGACATTCTTGGGCTGTTTCTGTTGAGCGTAAAGGGCATTTTTGGGCCGTTTCTGTTGAATGTAGAGGGACTTTTTGGGCAGTTTCTGTTGAGCGTGGAGGGCATTTTTGGGCCGGTTCTGTTGAGTGTAAAGGGCATTTTTGGGCCGTTTCTGTTGAGCATAAAGGGCATTTTTGGGCCAGTTCTATTGAATGTAGAGGGACTTTTTGGGCCGGTTCTGTTGAATGTAGAGGGACTTTTTGGGCCGTTTCTGTTGAGCGTAAAGGGCATTTTTGGGCCGTTTCTGTTGAGCGTAAAGGGCATTTTTGGGCCGGTTCTGTTGAATGTAGAGGGACTTTTTGGGCCAGTTCTGTTGAATGTAGAGGGACTTTTTGGACTGTTTCTGTTGAATGTAGAAGGACTTTTTGGGCCGTTTCTGTTGAGTGTAAACGGCATTTTTGGGCCATTTCTGTTGAATGTAAAGGGTAGCTGGAATAATGTTACAGAGGAGTTACTATAATACTGTAAGGAAATTTACTGTGGGGAAAAAAATGTGTTGCAGAAACATTCCGCTCATTTTGCAAGTATTCCTGGTTTTCTGGTATTAAACAACCTTACGTTAGCCTAATAAGCGGATGATTTATGTTCAGTGATAAATGTTGCAGGTATGGCACCCACACAACTGACCAAGATTGAAGTTAGTTTTCTCTTCCTGTGGGCCTTCGTGTTTTCTAGTGATAAAAAGACGGGCTTTGACATGGATAAGGTTGAGAACTTCACTACTGGAGCAATATATGGTGCTTTGAAATGTCACGAATGCAGCCAGCAGATGGGGTATTTCTACACTTTCCCTCCTCTTACGCTTCCATTGCTTGTTGGCTACGTCAGCCTCGTAGCTCCACTGTAAAACTAAACAAGCAAAATTCAGATACCAAACATGTCTCAGTTGATGGACTACACTTTGGGTTAGCTGATGTTGTGCTTCGTCAGAAGAATTAGGGTCCGGTCCAGAAAGACCTGGTTAGGGTCCATCTGCTCTAAAGGTCCTCTGCTGTAATAACAGCCTGAGTCACTTAGTGTTTCAGTCTCCACGTTACCCAACAAAACATCAGCCACACACACCCATACACACACACAGACACACACACACACACCTCTCAGGAGACTCGTCCTGGCACTGACCACGGCCAGAAAGTGTCATCATACAAACGCACGTTTCCTTAGAGTATTTGTCTCCAGTGTCCAGCCTTTATTTCTCATTTACTCTCTGTTTAAGGTCGTTGTTCCTGGAAACGGGCTTCGTGTAATTGTTTGTGATTGTGTTGGTTAGTGAAGGCCCTTATTTAGCTGCTCATATCTCTATCAGTCATACTGCGCTAGTGAAGAGTCTGCGGCTGGAGATACACCACACGCTGCTCTGAGCTTAGTCATGATAGAGAGAGGAATGGGAAGCGGTAAAAAGCTGAGCTGTCTCTTCTCGTCATCTCAGTCTAAACAAACTCCGCTTCACTTCCGTCCAGCATCATGACAATGAGATGATGCTTCTAAGTGATGAAAAATTAAATGTAAACATTTTTCTTTCTCTTATTGTCGATACATACCAAACACGACATGAAAAGTGCAAAATCTTCGGACACAATCACGATTTTTTTCACATAAGAACAGTACAAGCATTCACACTGCACCAAAAAACCAAATGTGGAATATCTTCAAGTGAAAAAAGAAGTGAAACGATCAATCGGAATCGATTTTCAGCCTAAATATGCGATTGGCGATCTGCTGATATTCCTTTAATTTGTGCGAGAGTGCGAGCCTCTTGGTGGCGCAAATGTTTCTACGTTCACTGAAAGAAAACAAGTTTTTTCCCAGTTTTCTTCCAGATTTAGTCGTAACCAGTTCCACCCGCTACTCAGGAATCCCCCAGTCACACGACACCACCAGCGCTAGGAGGGCGAAAGCTAGCACAGGCTTCCTCCGAGACCTGTGCAGCACCACCACATCTTTCTGAACTGTCGCTAATGCAACGTCATTGGACAGCTGAAGGCGCTCGGAGGAGAACACTAAACGCCAGATCTGTTACGTCAGCTAACAGACACCTGCACTGGCATCATGTCGAGTGATGGGGTGAGACGGGGGGGCCATCCTGCCCACTTAGAGAGAATGAGGCCAATATTATGTTCTCTTAGACTCCCGGCCTTGGACGGCTGTAGCATCACCAGGGACTAAACTCGCTATCTCCTGATGATCGGGCCACTGCTTAGACAGTTGGGCCACTCGGAAGCCTTAACAATATCTGACTTACACAACATTTGAAAAACCAGTGTGACTCATGATGGAAGCAAAGGAACCACTATGTAAACACTGTTAACCAGATAGGACACTTTTGACCACATTGACCATCTGAGTGCAGTGAGTTTCAGAAGGTAACAAACACAGCGAAGACAGATACCTGCACTGACAATAAGCTGTCAAACTGTGAACACGACAGGTGGATTCCTCATCTCACATGTACACTGTAAACGCAGAGGAGCAGGAAAACAACAGTCGAGTCTCATTTCATGTGTCTAACTGCCAGAGGCAGCCTTTCCCTGGAGCACACAGGTGCTGAATAACTAGGAGGGCATTAAAGGCTTTTCTACTCTCGCCAAAGTCGCCATCGGTGCTCAGCGGTGGGCCCAGTTGCACAGCCGTGTACCCACGACACTTTGTTCTGCCTTAAAACAATGAGCCTCATTCACCAATATCTTTTTCCTAAACGTGTTCTTGAGAAAAATCCTAAGAAATAGTCAACGTCAGATTCATGCCGTGTTCTTAAACTGCAGAACTGTTCACACCTTTGTGCTCTTGAGTGTGTAGATTCTGTTCTTAGAACAAATCCCACATAAGAAAACACAGGTGAATGTCAGTCATAGTGAAAACTGCGTAAGTGGGTTTTAAGAAGACATTGGAAGAATGAGGCCCATTATATCCTGTTGCTAGAATGTTTTTCTCTGAAAATATTTCAAGTTTGTGAGGTTGCAGTTTTTCTTTTGCCTACTTATGAGTAACAGATGCTTAAACTTTAACTTTTAACGTTTTATTCCTATTTGTGTTGGAAAATACAAGTGAAAATGGTTTCACGACATATAAGTGTTTGGCCATAAAGCTGCAAGGCTGCCTATTTCACGCTTGTTTGGTGCAGTGTTAGGCTTGTTAAACCAGTTCAAACCATGTTGGTGTTTTTGCTGGGTAGTTGAGTGTTGTCATCCCGTCCCCACCCCGACCGCATTTGGGCAATTATTGGTCTAATTTGGTCCTTTTGGGCGAACAGTGGCAGTGGGTGGGCCGTTTTCCATTTTGGAAATGTAAAAATAGAGAGAGCTTCATCACTTCATCCAGAAGATTTAGCTCAGATGTCCGTAGCCCAGTTTGAGCTCCTTTTAATGAATAAAATAATGTCGCATTTTTGCTGTCTGAGAAATCAGGCTCAGTTGTTCACATGACTTTATCCCAAATGTAGTTGATCAAGACGTGTTTGGTGTCTGAAGTTTGCTTCTTTACTGATTCACAGCTGCCAGACTTCATGTGGTTTTCCCAGAAGATTCAAATGCAATACAAATTCTGCGCCTGGCTGTTTTGCTAATTCTTACATTTTGATGATAGTATCTGCTGGAGCTTGGACGTTATGACTGAGACGTTCGAGAAGAACATGTGTTGCAGCTGCTGCCTTACAGAGCCATTAGCCAGTCAATGGGTGTCTGTTTCTCCTCTGAGCTGGAGAACATACAGATTCGAACACAGCGTTATCACCTTAGATTGGCCCAAACTTGTTCCCCCCCAGTTATAAATCTAGTCTGGGTTACATAGCAGTGATATGACAGTACAGAGAGGTACAGAACATTCTAAGATTATATAAAGAAGCACAGGGCAGCATGAGACAGAATCATTTCAACAAATGAACCACTTTCTAAGACGCTGGTATTTGAAAACTTGTTCGGTATTCTCAGACTTCCTTATGTGGTTTCTGACATTGTATGATGAAATTGTGAAAAATGTATTTTTTTGGCCAAACTACTGCTTTATAGTCTCTGAATCAGCTTAACGTCATGATGTTGTGAGTGTAGGATATGAAAGGGACCTTAATCAGGACAAAGAAAGAAGCAGAACTAGATGGAAGTGGAGCTGAATGTGTTTAGATTGAGAAGAGAAGAGACCACTTAGCTTCATCACAACCTCTCACTTCTTTTCCTCCTTTCCCTCTCTGATCAGCTTCTCTCTGCACTAAAACTGAATTCAAATAATGAGCGAAAGTACATCAGCAGTCACAACCCAACTAGCAGCCATCTTAAAACATGAATTTTGCCTGTATCATTTTTATAGGTAACTGTATATTGTATGATGCCAAT